TGTCAAAATGGTGGGAAATGATGAAAATTCATCAGGCGAAGACAAAGTTCAAAACAGAATGCAAAAGGTTGGTATCCTGTTAAACCTATTCTTAGCGATTCATTTTCGTTTTTATGTCTCCCCTACACCTGGTTTTAGTTCTTTTTGATGCCGTTGATAAACCTCCAGGTTTCTCCCCAAATCTCCAGGTTTTTTTTACCTTGATCTCCAGGTTTTCGGTCTTTTGGGGTTGAGAGGTCTGTAAGAGGGCCTCTTTTTAGTGAAGCCCACATTAAGCGAACACCCTATATTATATTAAGTGAACGAATGGCTCACTTTTTTTGAAGACTTTCTTCCCATTTTTACTGCAAAACGAGCCTGTATTCAGGGAACACCAACTAAGGTCACGTGGGTATCCACAAATTAAAGGTTTCACTGTAGATGGGGATGGTAAAATGTCCGGAGAAGGGCTACCTTAAAATTACCTGATAGTGATCAGATTTAAAACATTAGCTTAATCCTTTCACTAACATTATCTAAATATTTCATGCTTATGAGACCAACATTTTCTGTGTTATAGCCTTAAACTTTTAGTTAAGCTCGAGCATACCTCACAAGATTTGTGCGGGACCTTCTGCCAAGCCACGTCCGTGAATTTCTATGCCATAAATAAAGCCAAGTGTTGACGAATAAGTTAAAGATCCGATCGAGGTCATATACGAGTACCTGGAGTCTAAAAATGTCACTTTTATAGGTCCAATTTAACTACAAACATGTTCTCCGTGCTCCGTCGCCATCTTTGTTTCTTTTAGTGCTCAGTCTCAATTAGCGCGCAAGTTTCGCGCGCGAGCTTTCAGAGCACTCGTTTCGCGTTTCTCGAGTACTCGATCGAAAACGCGATCAAACGCGATCGACGTTTTCATGAAATATCAAGGTTTATGGGTGAGAAAAAAGTAAATTTTATTCCAAACAAATAAGTAATGAAACCAGCCTATTGACGAACCAGAAAGCAACCTCGTTCCCAGTTCTCTCTCCTTACTGAGGACTTCTCAAATAATCGAACCTTAGTTACCAACAGTAAGTGAAAAATCCTTCGTGTAAAACTGAAGTGTATATATAAAGGCATCAGTCCAATAAATACGGAATCAAAATTTTACTTCCTGCTAAAAAGTAGAAGTAACTTCTCACCACATGATTTATTTCATGTGATGCTATAATATTGAAAAACTAAGAAATACACAAGTAGTTCTGACAGGAGCCGATTCCAACGGGATTTGCACCTGTGATCTTCCAGGACATCTATGAGAAACTCGGGGAGCGATATGCCATACAACTAGACCGATGTGTGTGTTCAAAATCGTGGCAGACTTTTGCTGCTTTTGATATATAATAATCATTCACATCAGGAGGCTCCTGTTCACATTTATCACTGAACCTGTAACAGGATGGGTTCTTGACAATTAGCATTCTTAAGAACATAGTTGTATGACCGAGCATGGCAAGAAGAAACTCTCATACCTCAATGGTAGTAAGGGCATCAAGCCGGTGGAAGTTCTTCTGTACAATTTGAAGAGGGTTTCAGTCTAAAACGCCTTTTAACAGGGATCCCCGGGGAGGGAGACTCCGCGTATGAAAGGGTCGGGGATGCTCTTCGTCTCGCTTAAGGGTGTAAATTTCGGGTTTTTGTCTCACTTAAGGTATTCTGGGCGAAACGCCATCATATTTAGCTGTGAAGGTTACGTTTAGGGTTGCACATGAAAAAATATAAAAATATATATATTGTCTGTGTTTCAACACGGTCTCAGGGGTTTAATTCAAAAATTTCGACGAGAATCCTTTCCCCTTTCATATGCAGATTGCCCCCCGGGGGAACCTACCCTATTTATAACAGAACTCTAGTCAGATGGGTAAATCTAATGGAAATGAGCTAACAAATTACACAAAGACGCTGAAACGATTGATAGGCAGCTCATTTCTAAGAAAACCAGAATGACATACTGCCAGAGAGAGTTTAGAATTTCCCGCCATTCTAAAGATCTCAAGTCCGTTTCATAAACCGGGTTCATAATGCTGTAAGAGGACCATCTCAGAATAAAGCCCAACTTCTAAATTCTAGTGAGCACCCACCCATTCATTGCTGTCAGTTTTTTAGTTACGTTTGAAAAAAAAAAAAGGTTCACTCCTAGCAGGTAAGACAGGGCAGGGCAGAGGATTGGAAAACGCCCCTTGAAAACGGGAGAATACAATTTCGTACATCGCCTGAGTTGTTAAGTCTTATCAGTCACTAATGGGGGGTCTTTCGATATATTAAAATTCAGCACGATAGCGAGTCTTAGAGGACACAAACATGTTTATTCAATTTCTTTGTTTGTGTCCTCTAAGACTCGCCATCATGCTGAATTGTTTTAGAACTTTCAGCTAAACACTGTCACAACTCTAAAACAGTAATCAGTGAGACATTGTGGTGGTGATTGATCCTAGGCAAATAAAAAAGCTTAAAAACAATACCGTAATTATCGTATTGACGCAAAGCAGGGGCACCCAACGACGGCTTTCTGTAAAATATCTGTTCGGAGAGGCAAATATTACCCAGAATTTTCTTTTATTTGAGGACAGCTAAAAATTTCTAGATGACCGTTCCATTCATGTACAATTTTCGGAAATAGATTCCCTACGAGTTTCTAAAGTAAGTTTAATTTTTCACATTTCACTCCCTAGGTAAGGCTATTTTTCGTAGAAAATTATTTCCGGGTTCAAAAATGTGATGGAGAGAAGAATCAGAAAAATTGTCACTTTCATAATACGCTAAATTGCATCTAAAATTTTTGGGACAATAATACAGAATCCCTTGTAATGTCGAAAAGACTGAAGCACCCCTTGGATAACCGAATAGATATAGAATGTATTTCTAGAGATCTATTAAAAAAGCACTCAGGATAGCCTAAAAAGTGTTTTCAATGTATTTAGGAGGAAACCGTCGATGGGTGCCCCTGGCAAAGAGCACTTAATTCCAGAGAACACATTTATTTATTTAGTACAATTTAATGGCAAAAGGTTTTACGTAAGTGATAAATACAAAGGCATTTCCATAAGGACGGTCTATATAAAAGAGTCAAAGACCCCATAGAAGACAGACTACTTTCTAAAAAATATTCATATCATAAAAACTAAGATTAAATATGTACAATATATACAAAAAAGACATCAATAAAATAATAATAATAATAACAATAAAAGCCTCAGACATTTCCAGCTAAAACTGCCTCACTCCTTACTTAAAACTAGCAATAGTTGTTGCCTGACAAACAAGTAATGGTAGAGTGTTCCACACGTCCACGATCCTATTGAAAAAACTAAACTTAAATGTATTAGTTCTAGCATAATTCTTTTTAAGAGTACATTCATCTTTTCCCCTTAAAGGATACCGATCAGAATCCGAGAAAAACTGTACATATGTAGATAGATCAATATTCATATAGCCATTCAGGGCTTTATACAGGAATAATACGTCAAATAAAAATCGCCTTGTCATAAGGACAACAAATTGAGCTTTTTTCTTCGTTGTTCGTAATCATCATGGTCTTCAAAATAAACTTACTATAGTTGCCCTTCGCTGAATTCGCTCCAACTTAAAAGTATTTCTTAATGTGTGTGGTGACCACACAACACTGCAATACTCTAGCTGTGATCTGACCAGGGCAAAATACAGAGTTCTCAATGTGGAAACATCTTGAAATCCTTTACAGGTCCCTTAGACCTAGGATCTTGTTGGCCTTATTCGATATTTTATCAATATGAGTGCTCCAAGACAGATTGCAGATTGCATTAGTTTACATTTCTTCACGTTAAACTTCCTAAGGTTTTGTTGACTCCATGCATATAAATTGTCGAGATCTGGGCCGGGTTGTTCGAAAATGGGTTAAGGTAACCCACGGTTAGTGCGAAATTTGAACTCGGATATGAGAGCTTAAAAGCAAATTCAGTTGAATTCTCTTTGCCTACAATTTGATGACTGGATACTCTAAAAAGAATAGAGAAAATTATCCGATAGTGTGCTTTTGATAAAAAGAAAAAGAAGCCTGGGTTGAAATTTAACCCCAGGTTAGCGCTAACCGGCGTTCGAACAACTGGGCCCTGACTGAAATACGGAATGATCAGCTGGACAGTTTATAATCCTGGATGTTTCGCAGTCGTCAGCATATGATGACACACAGTTTCCAGGCATTACTATTTCAGGCAAATCATCAATGAAAATTACAAAGAACAAAGGGCCCAATAAGGAGCCCTGAGGTACGCCCGATGGAATAGCGCGCCATGTAGAATTTATGCCTTCTATGACAACTCTCTTTTCTCGGTCGGTGAGATAATCTTTACACTAATTCAAAGCACACCGGAGATACCAAAATTACACATTTTTGCAGCAAGATATTATGTGCCACTCTGTCAAAAGCCTTTGCAAAGTTCAGGAAAACAACGTCCGCCTGTTTGCCCTCATCCAAGGCCTTTGACCATTGATGGTGTGACATAACTAACTGAGTAAAATCACATTATAATTTTGATATCTATTTGGCATTTCATCACGTTCGTCAAGATCAGTACATTTACAAAGTTTATCAAACCAAAGTAATACTTGTGTTGATGTAAGACATGTAAGTAATTGAGCTTATTTGAAGCAAGCGTGAATTGAAGGGCAGGTCTTGACGAGAGTACCAGAAGTCACGTAGAACGAAAGAAGCCCTGACTAATATAGCAGACATGGGTTCAGGAGGTCTATACAACTTTGACGTCTCCACTATGAGGACGACTAACTGGTCCTGGCAATCCCTTCTGCTTGTGCTCCACGCTCAGTTCATGCTTCACCTTCCCCCGTAACGTATTAAAATGGCGCCTGCTTTAAAAAGTGCAATTATCCCCTGTTCACTTTGCGGTCTCAGACAAGACTTCTTCATTGAGATCCTAGGTATATACATTTATGTACAGCTGTGACAGTAGTTGTTAACTTGAACATGTTTCCTCTCAGTTTACAAGTTCTTTGTTTCCGTTGCACCTTCGCCATCTTTCAAACTGCTCTCATCAAATGCACCTGCGATACAAATAAAAAAACTAATCATGACGGTTCCCTTTCGTATGTATTCTTTGCACGATTTATTTTAGCCATCGATCAACATGCTTCTGTTGCTCGTTGGCTAAATGTTTTACCTAAATATCTGGCACAGATTTTTTCAAAGTCAAACAAATAACAAAACCTTTACATTTTGAGGAATCATTTATATGCTAAAAATTTAGTTAAGTCATATTGTATCAATTTCAGCTTAAATGTGATTCCAAGCAATTGTAACCAAGGGCCGCAATGCATTATGTCACGAGCGCGCAGGCCCAAAACCACGTAATTTAAAAGAGTTACTTAATTCCCGCGTCACCGGCCAATTATGTATGCAGTGAGAATATTTCACTTTATTTCAAATTCCTTCGATTCGTTTGCTGTTTGGATACTGATCAGATTATAGCTTGAAGCAGGAGATTGATATCAAGCTAACCATGCCATCCCTTGCCGCCCGAACAACCCGAGCAGCCTGTGCAATGGTTGCTCAGAATATCAGCCATCTCCTCTGGTACAAAATCGCGACCACGAAGAGAACTAAAGCAAAACGTATTGTAAAACCCAATCGAATCGAATGAAATACTTTCTTGAGGGCATATTAAATCTTTCGACTTTTCCGCGGAACAAGCATCATAAAAGAGGCGATTGATGACAAAAAACCTCCTTTTAACAACACTGGAAATCTACAAGGGAGTTGCCCTTAGCTCATTTGCCAGAAAAATACCTGTATAATATAGAAGTTGCAAAATCAAATGCTCCTGCACCTGCTTTGGCTAGATTAAGTCCTCAGGGAATCTTACCGTCTGCTTTCAAACTCTCGCCCAGCGGTAATTAGTACGTATACCCTTTGCACTGTCTCTGGTTCCCTAAGGATGAATGTTTTTAAGACTAAAAATACTAGCAGCGTTTTTCTCAGCCTGTTCCAGGCTCTCAGGTAGTAGGGATAAAAAACCTAAAAATGATATCGAATACAAACCTTTAAATGTCACATTATCTCCAATCAGCATAAAGGGTGCCCACTGCTTGACGTCAGAAAAGCCAGTCTCTCTAGATCTCATCGACTTCATGGCCTGATGAAGAGATTCACACGCACTTTCACCACGAACAAGGTGCTCGTAAAAACAATTCATAAACCACATGGTAGCTTTGTCCTCTACAGCCCACAGCGCCGCCAGCACGGCGCGTGCACCCGATGCTAGAAATGCTCGAGCGATTCCAACAATTCCCTCAGCTCTAATCTGACCACGTGCACTATGACAGCAGCTAAGGACAACCAGCTTGGCTGTTAGTCGAACTTGTGAAATTTCAGCCATCGTTAATAAGTAGTCTTCTTCGTGTGGAGTTTCGCAGGAACTTACAGGGGAAAGAGCTATTTCTCCACGTTCGGCATAACCATGAGCAGCGAAGTGAATGAGACTTACTGAATGCATGCTTTCCAGGACTGCCCGCTTAGTTGCATCCTTTCCAAGCAACGGTTGAACACCGAGCAGTCGCCCGATCATCTCTGCTTCCTTTTTCGCCCAAGGCAGTGAGTTTAACTGAAGAATTTTTCCTCGGTAGTATACATCACTAACGTCTGGTTCTCCTACGATCAATGCACCGGTTTTACTATGGTAGTCTGCTGGACTGAGCTGAATCAACTTAAGAGTCGTCAAGGAAGGGACAATGCGAATCCTGAAAGTATCCGATAAATACTTTCCATTACCATCCTTTAAAGCAGCAAAAGGAATAGGATACAACAAGTTATCCGGTATAATAATGATTTCTGATTCTTGGAGTAAGTCAGCTACAGGAGCGACTATCATGTTGTAACCATCAGCAAGGGTTAAAGGTTTAGAGTCGTGATTTTCGTCTTCCTCTTCTTCGATAAGACGCAAAGATTCGAAGCTGTCACTTTGAGATGTTTTGCGTGATAGCGGGGAACTTACACATGAAAATAATGATCGATCTTCGCATTGGTCTTGACGTAAATCAAGAGGGCCACCAAATGTCTCATTTACAAACACTTTATCTGCCCTTTCTTTGAGTCTCGTTTGTCGAAAAACTATCATTTTGTTTGGCTTGAGGATCCAAAAGTACATCTTATCACCGAAGCAGGAAACATAAAGACAAGAACTAAGTGCATTTTTGTTCATGATGTTCTCGATACCAATCCATGACTGTGGGTTGACTGATACCCCTTTTTCCAAACAGTACTTATCTGAGAGTACGTCTGTGAGTGCTCTGGATCGCCCAAGCTCGGCAACGTAAAGAGCTTCATAATAACTGCCTGTAGCAATTAACAACCCACAAAAAAAAAGGTAAGGGAACACATGCTTATCAAAAAAAGAAATTTTGAATTGATCTTTCACTCTTAAAAAATCATGCATTTCTTCACACTTCTGAATGCTTTCATGCAGATTTCGCAGAACTTCAGTTATGCTTCCTCCTGCCTCTAACTCGTTCACAGCAATGATAAGGTGGCTGTGAAACTGCAGTTCAATGTCCCCTATTTCGTAACTTATCTCAAGTGCTTTATTAGCAAATTCTTGACTCTTTGCAGTAAGTTGAAATTCTCGACAAAGTTTTCCCAGATTTAAGTATGAAGCTCCAACACCAGCTTTGTCTCCGATTTCCTGTCTGAGCACTAGTGCTTTTTGAAGGTATTCTTCAGCCTTGGTATATTGACCAACAGATTTAAACACAGTTCCTAGATTTCCGTAATCTGCTGCTTCTCCTTTTTTGTCACCGATTTCTTTCCTGATCACTAGTGCTTTTTGAAGGTATTCTTCAGCCTTGGTATATTGACCAACAGAAAAAAACACAGTTCCTAGATTTCCGTAATCTGCTGCTTCTCCTTCTTTGTCACCGATTTCTTTCAAGATCACTAGTGCTTTTTGAAGGTATTCTTCAGCCTTGGTATATTGACCAACAGATTGAAACACAGTTCCTAGATTTCCGTAATCTGCTGCTTCTCCTTCTCTGTCACCGATTTCTTTCCTGATCACTAGTGCTTTTTGAAGGTATTCTTCAGCCTTGGTATATTGACTAACAGATTTAAACACAGTTCCTAGATTTCCGTAATCTGCTGCTTCTCCTTTTTTGTCACCGATTTCGTTCCTGATCACTAGTGCTTTTTGAAGGTATTCTTCAGCCTTGGTATATTGACCGACAGATTTAAACACAGTTCCTAGATTTCCGTAATCTGCTGCTTCTCCTTCTTTGTCACCGATTTCTTTGCTGATCACTAATGCTTTTTGAAGGTATTCTTCAGCCTTGGTATATTGACCAACAGATTGAAACATAGTTCCCAGATTTCCGTAAGCTGTTGCTTGTCCTTCTTTGCCACCGATTTCTTTCCAGATCACTAGTGCTTTTTGAAGGTATTCTTCAGCCTTGGTATATTGACCAACAGAAAGAAACACATTTCCTAGATTTCCGTAATCTGCTGCTTCGCCTTCTTTGTCACCGATTTCTTTCCTGATCACTAGTGCTTTTTGAAGGTATTCTTCAGCCTTGGTATATTGACTAACAGATTTAAGCACAATTCCTCGATTTCCGTAAGCAGATGCTTCTCCTTTTTTGTCACCGATTTCTTTCCTGATCACTAGTGCTTTTTGAAGGTATTTTTCAGCCTTGGTGTATTGACCAACAGATTTAAACACAATTCCTAGATTTCCGTAGTCTGCTGCTTCACCTTCTTTGTCACCGATTTCTTTCCTGATTACTAGTGCTTTTTGAAGGTATTCTTCAGCCTTGGTATATTGACCAACAGATTTAAACACAGTTCCTAGATTACCGTAAGCTGCTGCTTCTCCTTGTTTGTCACCGATTTCTTTGCTGATCACTAGTGCTTTTTGAAGGTATTCTTTAGCCTTGGTATATTGACCAACAGATTTAAACACAGTTCCCAGATTTCCGTAATCTGCTGCTTCTCCTCGTTTGCCACCGATTTCTTTCCAGATCACTAATGCTTTTTGAAGGTATTCTTCAGCCTTGGTATATTGACCAACGGATTTAAACACAGTTCCTAGATTTCCGTAATCTGCTGCTTCTCCATCTTTGTCACCGATTTCTTTCCTGATCACTAGTGCTTTTTGAAGGTATTCTTTAGCCTTGGTATATTGACCAACAGATTTAAACACAGCTCCTAGATTTCCGTAATCTGATGCTTCTCCTTGTTTGTCACCGATTTCTTTCCTGATCACTAGTGCTTTTTGAAGGTATTCTTCAGCCTTGGTATATTGACCAACAGATTTGAACACAGCTCCTAGATTTCCGTAATCTGATGCTTCTCCTTTTTTGTCACCGATTTCTTTCCTGATCACTAGTGCTTTTTGAAGGTATTTTTCAGCCTTGGTGTATTGACCAACAGATTTAAACACAATTCCTAGATTTCCGTAATCTGCTGCTTCACCTTCTTTGTCACCGATTTCTTTCCTGATCACTAGTGCTTTATGAAGGTATTCTTCAGCCTTGGTATATTGAGCAACAGATTTAAACACAGTTCCTAGATTTCCGTAATCTGTTGCTTCTCCTCGTTTGTCACGGATTTCTTTCCTGATCACTAGTGCTTTTTGAAGGTATTCTTCAGCCTTGGTATATTGACCAACAGAAAGAAACACAGTTCCTAGATTTCCGTAAGCAGATGCTTCTCCTTGTTTGTCACCGATTTCTTTGCTGATCACTAGTGCTTTTTGAAGGTATTCTTCAGCCTTGGTATATTGACCAACAGATTGAAACAAAGCTCCTAGATTTCCGTAATCTACTGCTTCTCCTTGTTTGTCACCGATTTCTGCCCTGATCACTAGTGCTTTTTGAAGGTATTTTTCAGCCTTGGTATATTGACCAACAGATTGAAACAAAGTTCCTAGATTTCCGTAATCTACTGCTTCTCCTTGTTTGTCACCGATTTCTTCCCTGATCACTAGTGCTTTTTGAAAGTATTCTTCAGCCTTGGTATATTGACCAACAGATTTAAACACAGTTCCTAGATTTCCGTAACATGTTCCAACTCTGCGATTATTTCCAGCCTGAATCATGATACTGAGTGCCTTCTCGTAAAACTGTCTTGCTTCCTCGTATTTGCTTGTTTGATAGTAGATGTTCGCTAGTTTAAGTAATGTCATGCCTTCTACTTCTTTTTGGCCACTATTGTGTAGTGTCACTAGAAGCTTTTTACCACATTCTATCGCGCGGGTGTGATCGTACTCTAGGGCTTTATCGTTAAGGAGCACCAAACATTCGTTAAAGATGTCTACTGCTTTTATAATACGTCCAGTGTTGAAAAGGAAAGTTGCAACGACTTGACCAAGATGAATGGTCTGTAGAATCTCCATGCTGTTGTCCATGACGCTCTTTTCTTAACCTTGGGAAAAAAATATTTTAAGAGTAAGAAAGTCTAACGTCTAACGTCTTTTTAACTGAACAGTTAAACTTCTTATGCGAGGTAATCAAGCTTTCATGTAAGATTTACCATAACATTCGCACGGGCAGTTTGCTGTTGGGGATAATGAGAAGAATAAGACCCTGTTTACATGTAGTGGGGGACCCCGGCCTAGTGGGGTAAGTTTCTTTTGTTTTGTGTCCCCCAGAGCGTGAAAACAAAAGCAACCAACCCCACTAGACCGGGGTCCCCCACTCCATGTAAACAGGCCCTAAGACGATTGTCATATTTGTCTTCATCTTTATTTCCAAGTGGTAAACTTCCCGTGCGAATGTGATTGCAAGTCTAAAAAGCTTGAATAAATTACCAAACACAAGGGTTTTCATTGCAACTGAAAAATTGATGGTTGGAAGTAATGGAGTTGGTGGCTTTATTTCTCTTCAAAACGGGAACCTGTGACGCTAAAAACTCTTGAGAGTTTTTCGTAAATGCTATATTTTGCTTTGTTAAGATTTGTTTCCAAAAGAGAGGGACAAATACAAAGTAAGTTTGATGAATAGAAGTTCTTTAATATATACCGCGCACTCAGCATAAAGTTGTTCTTCCTGTAGTGCTAACTATGTTCGCCGCAGGTTTCTGATTACGCAGTTTCTTGCAAAAAAGCTTTGGGTAGGAATATCCTTTTAGATAGGCGATAGTATGTCGGCAGTCTTCTTCTATTTGTGCGTCAACTTTCACAAACGTGTTAGCGTAGCATTTTAAGGCTTGACCAGCATTTTGTGCAGCGAGTTCTACGGTCACGGTTGCCTTCAAACTTGCAGATGTAGAACTAGAGAGCTCTGAAGCTTGTTTGCTGAAGTTAGGGAAAAATCTGTCGTAGGATTTCGAAGTTATATACATTTTTCGTAAAAATGCGGTTTTAAATATATGCCGATATATAAATAAATAACACTTTCTTAAATTTCCGTTATTATTTATTAAGGATGCCAAAATCATAGAAATCGGTTGAATCTTTTATTCTTAAGAACGCAAATTAAAAATATAACCAGCACGCATATAAATAGGTTCGGGCCACCTTACTAGTAATGTTTAATAAACTCGCAGCACGTGTTTTATCGGGTCTAAAATCGCTCGCCATCGGCTTGTCATTTTAAACCCGATACTGAACACTGCTGCTCGTTTATCAGGGGCACCCAACGAGAATATAGTTCAAAACCACTTAAACATAGCACTGTTAAACGTATTTTAGTATTTAAACGGTAGATATAGGCATATTTTCATCCCCTAAAAATTTTTTATCTGTTCGGATTTCGTAGCTGAAAGCCTAGTGATCCGAAAATTATAGGGATCCAAAGTTACCTTTTCGAAAATTTCAGCCAGAAAAAAGGTTCCCGAAAATTCTAGGTGACCTTTTTAGGGTAAAAATCCGTTAAAAATAGGCAATTATACCATTTTTTTGATGTTCGAAAATCATAGGAGAGGCAGGCAAGCAAGAATTTTTACAACAAATGTTCCGAAAATTCTAGATCTAAAATCGTCTTCCGAACAGATATTCTTCCGAAAATTGTCGTTGGGTGCCCCTGGTTTATCAAACATTACTTAAAGCATTTTCGTCCATATTCACAAAGTCTCTTTGAAGATTGATTTCTTTTTGTTTAATGTAACATAGAATAAGAAAGACTCGTCCGACGAAAACAGGAACTTTGAGAATTTCGCACACAAGTTCATCTCAAAGTCTCTTTGGCGAAAGGACAAATAAGCGGCGAGGCTTCGAGAACGCAAAGCGGCTTCTGCGGGAGCTTCAAGTACAAACTTGAGAGAAATCCTTAGAGACTTTCTAAGGAAAGTTACCGTATAAGGTTTGGTGACTTGGAATCCTAGAGCTTACAGTTATTCTTAATGTGGCCCAGAGTTTTTGCTTTTGTTGGTATCTGTATAATTGAATTTGTGCGTGATCGAGTGTTGCGCTTCTCCTAATTTCTGTGTCAAAACAAGCACGATTGATGTTAGCATTAGCGAGTTTCCTTAACTAAAAAACTTTGCAAAGTTCACAGCTCGCTTTGATTTCTCCTTTTTTATATACACAAATTGACCGGCCGTATTTTACTGAAAGTGTTCTGAATACGTACACTGTAAATGTGCGGAGGTAAAGTAAGTATACGGCTGAGTATACGAAGTATACGTGAGATATTGCATGGATACCGTCCAATAGCAATATAATACGTACTGGTTAGAGCACTGCACCGGTATCGCATCCTGGCAAGTCCGAATTTTTCGTTTTTGTCAGGCTTTCTTTCCGCAACTGCATAAATTGCGTCTTTAACAGCGAGGATCTTCTCCACATTAGTTTACAATAACGTAAACTCTTTAAAGTTCAACACTTGGGCAGGGAAATCTGTCAGGATCTTTTTTCAAGTCATAACTAGACAGTGAAGAAAGTGAGCTCGAAAAACGTCTTTTCTTAGCTGCGGAGTTCGTGTGCAGTGGCCCGCTCTGACAAGGCAAGCCAGAAGTTCTTAGCGGCCAAACAAGGCCTGGTTATCCAATGGATATTACAGTGGAACATCGATACAACGAAGGGCCAAGGGATTAGTAAAACGTGTTCGCTTTATTAAGGTTCCACTGAGCCGGGTCATCGCTAGTCTACTACACATCGATACACAGCCGTTTTTAGTGTCGTCACGCAACTCTTCTCCCCACAAAGGGGAGGAGCGTTGCGTGACGACACAAAAAACGGCTGTGTAGCATACTAGGTCATCGCCAAAAACTCGATAGATTTACTGCTTGAAGTATAAATGTTGGTAAGCCAATTTATAACATTCATATACGTTATGATTTAGTATCGCTCAGGGACTCTACTCGCAGCACTTCACTTAGAATTTGTCTCTAGTAATAACTGAGCAAAAGAAGCCCTCGTTCGAAGTCCTGGTTCGAATCCTAGCTCGCAGCCATGCTCGAGATTTCGCACTGTATTTAGGTATACTCAAGTTTTAATGTGCCACGGAAATAGTTGAATCTGCGCGATAACTGAAAGCTCTCTGGGAAATATTGCTTGCGTTCTACATTCGCTTTACTTTTCACAATACAATAGACGAATCTGCCAACTCTTTTACAAACTTTTTCATTTTGTGAGCAATTATTTATGGTTTATACTTTCCAGGTTACTGATTCAGGAAATAACAGATAATCTCTACAAATCGTGTTCCAGTCATCTCATACATATTAATGCTTTTAAGGCAATTTTCGCCAGGGGAGGCGGTAAACCATTTGCCCAAAAAATTCTCGCAAGTAGCCCAAATTTCTACGAAACAACATAGGCCGTACTGGCATATGAAGAAGGCTCGATACAGTTTTTAAGGGTCAATACCTCCCAAGTTCGAGCTTAAACTACGTCTCCATAGACAAACATTTGGAAAAATTGCCACCACAGTTGCATTAGATAAAGATGAAAATTTGCCATGATTAGAGTTGCAATGACATCGGAGTTGTCAAAGCAACGGAATGACGCCATTACCTATTTTACTTGCAGCAATATTTCTCGGCACTGGGAACTGTTCTTACAAAATCGTTCACTTTTTTCTCCAATACGGTCGACTCGATGTTCTTGAAGTTAAAGCGGAATCTGTAAGAGCGTTATCGAGATATTTTGGGATGAAGTTTTTATCGTTAGAAATACGGTAAAACATGAAAATGTTGATGTTAGGCCGTTATTTGTAGCAAACGAAGCGCTTTTGACCATGCAATTTCACCTCGCAGTGGTTTAGAAACGTGTGTGAAAGATCGTGGAGATAGCTCAGGCCGATTGCTAGAAAGAAGGATTTGTTAGTATGTATCGAAGCGCTCTTGTTCAGGGTCCCAAAGGGGGGGTCCCTGGAGCCCTGGAGCCCTGAAATTTCTGTTGTGGAGCCCGGAGCCCTAATATTTTACTGAGTGGAGCCCTGATCCTTTTTTGGCTGTGGAGCCCGGAACCCAAAGACATTTTGCGCAGAGCCCGGAGCCCAGCATTTTCAAGTTTGATCATTCGAGTTCCCAGATTGCATTGATTCTTGATTACTGCCTTTTTTGTGTTTGTTTGTGAGCGTTAACGGGCATAAAGAAACAGAATCTGAAGAGAGGAGAGTACATAATACAAGTATACGCGTTTATCTCAGTTTATAATGATATGCAACAACTTGAGGGATTTAATGAAAACTTTGTTATAATTGTAGTGAGCGCGATAAAAACAACTTTGTAGTAACCGGACGTTCCTTTAGCAGTTTGCTCGCAGGTATCAGTTACAACAAATTAAAAAAAAAAAAAAAACTTGACAGATCATTTTGAAGATACAGATAATAATTGATGAAGATTAATAATTTCAATACTTACCCAGTCCTTAATAGATTATATTGTTTACTGTTCATCTGATTCATGACCCTTTCCATCTTGACTTTCGGGTGTGGATTGTCAAATCAAATGTCAAATCATGTTTATTATAGTTTGCAACGAACGTTTTGTTCCCAACACGTATTTTAGCTTTAAAATGTCTTTGACATGACATGAAAATTAAAACAAATACGAAGTTGTTGTCCTTGGCCCGTTTTCTAGACCTTGTCGACTTTCGGGTTGGCATTCCATCTGTCCCACTCACATCTTCATCTTCTTCTTGAGCAATTAGTGCTCTCTCTGTGGTGGTTGTGGTGTCACCTTCATCCAATGCCAAAAGCATAGTTTTCTCATGCCACTCCTCTTCAACCCTGACAGTCCCCTGGCCTCTTCTACATCTTCGCATGGAATTGAATACTCGAGAATTCCTTGTGACACAACAGTCGTGTTCTCGATGCCAGATTCGGTAAAATGGAATGGCAAAAGGTCCTCGAGGAATCAGACACAGTCGTACCTCTCTCGCGTTTCAACGTGAAACGCCAACAATGGCAGGTCTTGTGCGTCCCCAGTTTATATAAACACGCGGTTGCATCAAGCAGATCT